TATATATATATATATATATGTACCCGCAGAGGCATGTGTCGACCATACCAAGAACCCAGGGAAGCAGAACAGTTTCTATATCAACAGCGGTTTCAAACAAGATTAGGATGTAAGCGTTTGTGGGACTTGTAGGGCTTCCAGGATCTGATCAACTTTGGGGTTTGGGTTGGAGGGTGGAAGGTTTGGCATATCTTTGCATGGTCTAGGTTTTAGGGTTTATAGGGTTTACAGTTTTGTTTTTCGGATGTTGGAGTTTAGGGGTTTTGGGGGTTCGGGAAATAATTGTACAGGCTCCCTCTAAAAGGGGTGCCACAGGGTCTCATGGGCGTCCCTTCAAAGAGCTCAGGCACCCTGTCGAAGATTTCAACTAGCCCAAAGCAACTTGTGACCCCAAAGTTGGTACTGTTCGTAGACTTGAAGTCTGAGGGTCTGCCTTAAGAAAGTTAGTTTAATTAAGGGTTCATGTGCAGAGTGTACGATATTTCATAAATATGACATAAGAGTTTACTGTCTGCGGGTTGGAGTGGAGGGACAGCTCAGGGTCATTCTTAAAGGTGCTGATGCAAGCAGATGGGAGGCCTGAATAAGCACATGTAGTACTACTACTCCTTGATTCCTTACGGTTCATGATTATATTATATCTATATTTCAAGATACCCCCTTCACCCTATTCCAAGCATTCAGGCCCCTCAGAGTAATCCTATGCAACAAAGAGCAGACATCCATGAAACACCCAGCCCTTCATTTAGACACTCCAAAATCATGCAGACATCGTGAGTTCAGGAAACTGAAGTTGCGGGGATCCGCCACAATAAGGGGTCCCTATTGGTTTTGGAGGGTGGGGTTATTTATATTCGACCCTAAACCCTCAACCCTCATGGGGTGCACTGTCCGATCCTGTGATTCCGAGCTGTCCTATAGCTCCCAGATTAGGGGTTTCTATCGGGGCTTTGAAAAGTAAGGGTTTAGTGTGTGGGCTTTCGAGATGTTTAGCGTGTGTTTGGGTTTAGGATGTAACTACAAGGCTTGGCAGCCTTTAAACATGCACCCAATTAAGGCCCCTACTCAAACCCACCAGAATATATCCCCAGACCCCTATTCTTATTATTAACGCCCCTACATTAAGCCTCAAACCCACCATAATATATCCCCAGACCCCTATTCTTATCATTAAGGCCCCTACATTAACCCTAAACCCTAAAACATTAAGCCTCAAACCGAACTTTTTTCTAATTATTAAGACCCCTAGCCCCAAGCCCTCTTCTTATCATTAAGGCCCCTAACCCCAAACCCTATTCTTATTAGTTAAGGCCCCTACATTAACCCTAAACCCTAAACCTTAATCCCTAAACCCTAAACCCTAAAACATGAAGCCTCAAACCCCACTTTTTTCCATCTCCGAGGCCCGGCGCCGGCTTCCGCCCCCGCGCGCGGCGCTTGGAGGACGCGCCGCCAGAGGCTGCGGACCTCTCCGTGGGCGATCTCGCCTCTCGATTTCGTCTTCAGTGAACAGAGGGTTTAGGGTTTAGGGTTTAGGATTCTCAGATTAGAATAACGGAGTCCGAACTTGAAGGGAATCTTTCGAGAATAATGTTCGATCGTGGTCTTTCTGGAGTTTAGTTCAGGTTTAGGGTTTGCGCGAGGTTGTGTTTGTAAGTTGGTTTAGGGGAACTCTGTTCAAGTCTAGGAACTAGAAGGAGCAGTAGAGGGCCGTGGATCAAACGTTCTGCAGCGGAGGGATGCTTCTTCGATGAAGGGGCGGTATGCTACTCTGTTGGTGGGGCGTACACTGCACTCAAAGATCCTAGTTTCTGAAACTAGCTTATGATAACGGTATAGATCTAAGCATACCCTTATTCTTAGGGGTACTTAGAAATAATTTTTAATCTTTGGCTACTATAAACCCTAAGAAGCAGCTAAAATTATAATTTTTGCTAGGGGTCTAAGTTCAGTATAGTATTTATCGGTATGCATCTGTCACTGTGTATGCATGCACGTATGTGTGCATGCATGTATGTATGTATGTATGTATGTATGTAGGTAGGTAGGTAGGTAGGTAGGTAGGTAGGTATGAATGTTTGCATATATGTGTGTATCTATGTATGTATGTATGTCTGTATGTATGTATGTATGTACGTACGTACGTACGTACGTATGTATGTATGTATGTATGTATGTATGTCTGTATGTATGTATGTATGTATGTAGGTATGTATGAATGTATGTATGTAT